ACTAAATGTTAAATAATTGGATTTAACGCGTTCAGAGCTTTGAAATGAACATAAACAAGGCATACTTTGGAAAATTTTGATTTTTGGACAAAACTTGGCTTGAACTTGCCCATTAACCTAACTCGCCTGGTTTTGGTCCAATTTGACTAAATTTTTCAAAATTGAATTTAACGCGTTCAGAGCTTTAAAATGAGTATAAACAAGGCATACTTTTGAAATGTTTCATTTTCGGGCCCTTTTGGCCTATTTTCGACCCAAATCCAAAATGGGGCTTGCCTATACTCATTTTGAAGCTCTTAACAAGCTTATCTCAAAAATCAAGTTTATCCCCCACAAAACTTCTTAGTTTTCAAGAAATTCCCCAAAAACGAAACTCACATTCCATCAAATCCCACTTCATCAATTTCCATTAGTCCAAAATGTGGGTTCTTTTCGGGTTTTTTGCGAATATAAAAATGAATAGCTGAAAATCAAAAATATTGTTAATTTTTTTTTATTGTGATATATACCATTTGGATGGTCCGTTTTCAAATTTTCCACTTGAAATTTCGACTTATCGGAGAAGTTTTTGGCGACCAACGCGATAATTTTTATTCCACTTTTTCCAGTTTCAGAAATATAAAGATCTGAGAGGCCAAGGCCCATTTCTTGGATGTTTTCATGGTCCCGGGGCCATTCCTGCGCCATTTGGAATCTGAAAAATGTTTTCGTGGCCTAGAAATCCAAACTTACAGTTCTCGTGGACTAGCTTTGGCTAGTTCTTCGTCCGTGGCATCACGAAGGAGGGGATTGTTCATTTTTCTGGAAAATTTGAAATTTAGGTAAAAAATATTTTTGAAATTTTGAAAATTATTTTTTAGAATATTGAAAAAAAAGAATCATGAAACTGAATGAGAGGAACGGAAAAACAAGAAAATTGAGATAGGCTCCGCCCCTTTTTTAGAGACTCCGCCCACTTTTTAGGCCACGCCCACTGTAAGCCAATTTTTGAAGTTTTTGGAACTGTCGAATTTTTGGGATTTTCTGAATTTCTGAATTTCTAAATTTCTGAATTTCTGAATTTCTAAATTTCTGAATTTCTGAATTTCTGAATTTCTGAATTTCTGAATTTCTAAATTTCTGAATTTCTGAATTTCTGAATTTCTGAATTTCTGAATTTCTGAATTTCTGAATTTCTGAATTTCTGAATTTCTGAATTTCTGAATTTCTGAATTTCTGAATTTCTGAATTTCTGAATTTCTGAATTTCTGAATTTCTAAATTTCTGAATTTCTGAATTTCTGAATTTCTGAATTTCTGAATTTCTGAATTTCTGAATTACAAAAAAAATTCGAAAATTTCAAAAAATTCAGATAGTCGCAAATTTTGAAAAAAGTTTTGGATTACGGTAGCCTTACTGTAGGTTGTCCAATCTCAAATTCTAGAATTTCAGAGACTCGAAAATTCAAAATTCCATTAAAAAACCTCCCATAAAAGTACACACCTGTCTTTTTAGGTGAGAAAATCCAACAAATGGATCAAGAAAACAGATAAAAAAGTCAGTGAGAGAGAGAGAGAGAGAGAGAGAGAAAACGAGATTTCTTATCTGAACCACCTTTTTTTCTCCTCCTGTTTCTATCATTTTTGCTATTATCTGAACGAGAATTCATCTTCTTCACACCACCCACACAAGGTCATTTTCATCGTGTTGCATCTGCCTCCGTGGGTGGTCTTGTATCGGTTTTTTCGATGGACTGGAAATCCTTAAAATTTGGCCTAGAAAGTTTGGAAAACAACCATTTGAATTTGGCGCGTTTAGAGCTTTAAAATGAGTATAAACAAGGCTAGGTTCTTAATTTTGAAATGTTTGGCAGAAAATGGTCAGGACCATAACTCGGTTTGTTTCAGTCAAAATTGTTTGAATTTTAGAAATTTGAATATGCCACGTTTTGAGCTTCAAAATGAATATAAACAAGGCTATACTTGGAAATTTTTGATTAGTGTTCTAAAACTGGTATGGGTCATAACTAGGCCGGATTCGGTCCAAATTGAATGAAATTTAGATTTTTGAATTTATTGTGTTTTCAACTTTGAAATGAGTATAAACAAGATAAATTTCGGAAAATTCGATTTTTTTGCCCAAAACTGGCCTAAAATTGGCTTGGACCGTACCTAGGCTCATATTGGCCCTAGCTAGGGTTGGCTTGGGGGCGAAAAGGGGCGATCCCCGCCCCGCGGGTTCGGGGCGGGGATTCGCCCTCGCCCCGGGAGGCGGTATACTTTGCGTAATTGCGCGTAACTGAATGGACCAATTGACTTGAAAATTTCAGGGTAGCCTAATTTTTTTTGGTATGTTTAGAGCTTCAAAATGAGTATAAACACGACTATGTTTGAAAATTTTTGATTTTTCAAGATTTTTCGATGGACCTTGCGCCTTTAGAATAACTTTGCCTAGTCTAGACATGTTTATACTCATTTTGAAGCTCAAGACCCGCCAAATTCAAAAATGTAACAATAAATCCATTTGAAGCAAAACTGACTGAGTTAGGACCATTTTAACAGAATTGATTTTTGACCTAAAAACAGGGTGGGAGCAAACGTTTCGAAATTTTAATTCTTGAAAATTCCAATAAAACTGCAGGAAATTCTTTAAAATTGCAAAAAATCATTATTTTTTTCTGAAGAAAAAGTTTGAAATTCTGGAAGGGACACATTGGAAATAGTCAAAAAATAAGGAAAAAAAATAAGAAAAAATAGATCTACATGAGAGCAAAATAAGCTTCAGAAGCACTTTTTCTTTCCGCATAATCGAATTTTCTGAAAAAAAAAAGAAAAATTTTTGCCGGATATTTAGATTAGCTCCCCTTGGAGAGACGCACTTTCTAATAGACCTCACACTTTGAATGACGCAATTTCTCATATTGGTGGCCTAGAAATTCAAAAACGCGGCCTAGAAATTTGGAAAACAGAAAAATTCGAGTTTGGGACGTTAAGAGCTTCAAAATGAGTATAAACAATGCATACTTTGGAAAATTTTGATTTTTGGTCTTTGGGCCATAACTAGGCCAGTTTTGGTCCGAATCGAGAGAAATTATTTTTTTTGGATTAAGCGTGTTTAGAGCTTCAAAATGAGTATAAACACAACTATATTCTGAAAATTTAGATTTTTCGCTAAAAATTGGCCTAAATCTGTTTTCAACTCGGCCAGTTTTGATCCAAATTAATTGAAATTTTTTGTACTTCAGTGGCTTAAAATTCAAAAAATTTTGGCTTAAAAATTTGGACAATGAACAATTCGATTTTAGGATGGCGAGAGCTTCAAAATGAGTATAAACAAGGCGTAAATATTTTTGGAAATTTTGTTTTGGCCTTTGGGCCATAACTAGGCCAGTTTTGGTCCAAATCGAATGAAAATCAGTTTTTTGAGTTTATCACGTTACTGTCTATTCAATAAAACGTCGGAAGCCAAGGGGAGGCCTAGAACAGCAACATAGCGATCTTTCATGCAGATTTGGAGGGTCTCAGTAAGCTGAAATCATTGAAATATGTTAATTCTGAAGCGAGTTACAGTAACTTTTTCCAAAAAATCTTAATTTTTCTTTTAAAATAGGCATAACTCTGTCAGTTTTGTTCCAAATTTTTCGATTTATATATTTTTGAATTTAACAAATTTTCACCTTCAAAATAAGTATAAACATGCCTAGGTTCTGCAAAGTTAGTTTAAAGGCGCATGACCCATCTGAAAATCTCGAAAAATCAAA